TGCTGAAGCTTAAACTCCAATATTTTGACCACCTGATGCGAAGAACTGACTCATCTGAAAGACCCTGATGCTGGGAAAGGTTGAAGGCGGGAGGAGAAGGGACGACAGAGGACGAGATGGTTGGATGGCATCACTGACTCCATGGACATGAGTTTGAGAAAGCTGTCAGAGTTGGTGATGGACAGGCAGGCCTGGCGTGTTGCAGTCTATGGGGTCACAAAGAGTTTTACACAACTGAGTGACTGAACAGAACTCATGATCTTATTTGTATTTGTCATATATGGCTTTCATTATGCTAAAACATCTTCCTATATACCAATTTTATTGAGAGTTTTTATCACAAATGGTGATTTAATTTTGTCAAATGCTTTTTATTTTGCAACTATTATGATCATCTATGATGACTATTTTTTTTAATCCTTTATTTTGTCAATGTGGTGTATCACCTTGATTTCTTTGAATATGTTTTACCATTCTTGAATCCTTGGAATAAATCCCACTTGACTGTGGTGTATGATCCTCGTAAAGTATTGAATTAGCTTTGCTAATGTTTTGTTGAGCATTTTTGTACCTCTTTTCATCAGAAATATGCATCTGTACTTCTCTTGTTTCATGATACCCTTCTCTGGTTTTGATCTAGCATTGTAAAATGAGTTTGGAATTATTCCCTCCTGTTCAATGGCTTGAAAAATTCAAGAATGATAAGCATTCAATTTTGAATTGTTGGTAGAATTCATCATTGAAGTCAACTGGTCCAGGACTTTTGTTTATTGGGGGATTATTTTTTTATTACTGACTCAATCTCCTTACTAGCAATCTATCTACTCAGATTTTCTATTTCGTCATGATTCAGCCTTTAAAAACTGCATGTTTCTGGGAATTTATCCATTTCTTCTACGTTGTCCAATTTTTTGGCATATAATTATTCACTATAATTATATGTTATGATCTTTGTTATTTCTGTGGTATTGGTTGTAATTTGTCCTCTTTCAAGTGTGATTTTATTTATTTGAACCTTCTATGTGAACCTCCTTCAAAGTGAGTCTAGTTAAAGGATTGTCAATTTTGTTTATCTTTTCAAAGAACAAGCTGATGGTTTTATTGATATTTCCAATGCTATTGTCTCTATTTTATGTATTTCTGCATAACTCTTGATTATTTCCTAACATCTACTAACGTTGGGCTTCATTTATTCTTTTTCTAGCTCCTTTAAGTATAAACTTAGATTGTATATTTGAGATTTTTCTTTATTTCTTTTTTTTTTTTTTTGAGGTAGAATGGTATCCCTATAAACTTCCCTCTTAGAACGGCTTTTGTAACATCCAATGGATTTTGAAATGATGCATTTCCATTTTTATTTGTCTCAAGGTATTTTTTTATTTCCCTCTCAATTTTTCATTGATCTATTTTTTGTTCAGTAGGATTTTGTTTAATCTTTACACATTTGTGTTTTCTACAGTTTTATTATTTATTTATTTATTTTTTGATGTGGGCTCTTTTTAAAATCTTTATTGAATTTCTTACAATATTGTCTCTGTTTTATGTTTTTGTTCTTTGGCCATAAGGCATATGGGATCTTAGCTCTGCTACCAGGAATCAAGCCCACACCCCCTATGCTGGAAGGCAAAGGATTAACCACTGGACCACCAAGGAAGTCTCATCAGGTTTATTCTTATAATTGACTTCTATCCATGTTATTGTGGTTAAAAAAAAAGTTTGATATGACTTCAATCTTCTTAAATTTATTGAAATTTATTTTGTGACCTAATATGTTATCTATCCTGGAGAATGTTACATGAGCAGTTAATGTGCTGCTTTTGTGTGGAATGTTCTCTGCATGTCTATTAACTTTACCTAGTCCAATGTGTCATTTGAAACTGATGTTTCATTATGATTTCTCATCTGAATACTTATCAAAAGATGTCAATGAAGTCTTAAAGCCCTATTATTGTATTGTTTTCAATATCTCCTTCTATGAATGCAACTATTTTATTTGTATATTTAGAACTCTACCAATATATTATTAGCAGCCATAACTACTAGCTATTTCTTTGTTTTTAGCTTAATTACTTTTATACATTAATAGGCAGGCCAGTTGGATACGAAGAATTTACAAGAAGCAATAGTGCTTTGGAAAAGTCACCATGATCCATATATACCTGGACTTAATCTTTGAAGGTTTATAATCTGGACATACTAAGAAGCAAGACAATGAAGAGGAAATAACTGACATACAAAAAGTTCTCCAGGCCAAAGCAGTCTTGAGAAAAAGGAAAAATAGCTGGAGGCATCACAGTCCCTGATGTTAAACTATAATTCAGTTTAGTTCAGTTCAATTCAGTCACTCAGATGTGTCCAACTCTTTGTGACCCCGTGAACTGCAGCACACCAGGCCTCCCTGTCCATCAACAACTCCCTGAGTTCACCCAAATCCATGTCCATTGAGTCGGTGATGCCATCCAACCATATCATTCTCAGTAGTCCCCTTCTACTCCTGCCCTCAATCTTTCCCAGCATCAGGGTCTTTTCAAATGAGTCAACTCTCTGCATCAGATGGCCAAAGTATTGGAGTTTCAGCTTCAATATCAGTCCCCCCAATGAACACCCAGGACTGATCTCTTTTAGGATGTACTGGTTGGATCTCCTTGCAGTCCAAGGGACTCTCAAGAGTCTTCTCCAACAGCACACTTCAAAAACATCATTTTTTCAGTACTCAGCTTTCTTCACAGTCCAGCTCTCACATCCATACATGACCACTGGAAAAACCATAGCCTTGACCAGATGGACCTTTGTTGGCAAAGTAATGTCTCTGCTTTTTAATATGCTGTCTAGGTTGGTCATAACTTTCCTTCCAAGG